TTGTAAGTACATCAATATATTATCTTTTTTTTTGCGAGACCGTTTGCTTGTTATTGCGAGACCTGGTGCATTAAAACTTGGCTCAGTAGTTTCAATCAAAGACTCTTCTGTAATAAGTGACGCAGGACTAGGCTGGGTTTGGCTACAAGTGCTATTTTCTGTATCGGACATCATATCTGTTGGCCCTGGAGAGTACACCTCATGTGAAGGCCCTCTCCAGAGCATATCTGAAGAAGACTGAGAGTGTTTGTCGTCAATATTGCTAATACTTGCTCTTTCCCGAGAAATAGAATCTAAAAATGACAGCTGTACTTAGTAAATTTCGAATTTACTTCGTGGATGTGCTGCTGATCCTGTAACACTTTTTTTTTCTTTTGTCGGTAGTACGTGTCTTTAATATTTCTCCACCGATTTTTGCAAGCTTTACCTGTAAAAAAAGTAATTAAATTTCTTCTATTTATCGAGTTCTTCGGTTTTCGCGATTGTTACACATAGGAAATGAAACTAGGTGCCATGGTCAACCTGTAAAGGGCCCGAAACGTCAGTTTGTCTGAAAAAAACAAATATACGCGATTTAATCCGGAAAAATAGTTTAATTTCTTTTTATTTTAATTTTTGAATTAATTATTGTTTTTTTTTAGATTTATTGCTACACTGTCATTGGCCTATCGCATGTTGGATTGTTACGTGTCTAGAATCATTAAACAAGTATTGAGATTGCTGTGCCAAAAACTTTTGTAAATCGCTATGCCTGTCCCTACTGAAAACGAATTCAAGAGAATCGAAAAATATTTTTGGATGAGATGGAATATGCCAAATTGTATATCAAGCATTGATGGGAAGCATGGCCGCGTCAAAAGTCCACAGAATAGTGGTTCTCTTTATTTCAACTACAAAGTTACTTTTCTATCGTTTTACCTCTTTGGTTGACGCAAATTACAAATTTGTAGCTGTTGACGCTGGATCATACGGCAAAGAAGGCGACAGTAATATTTTTAGAAAATCAGCTATAGGAAAGAAAATGGCCAATAACACTCAACGTTCCGCCACCGAAGTATTTACCGGGCAATCAGGACATACTTCCTCACTTTTTAATTGGTGATGAGGCTTTTCCTCTTAGCACTAATATGATTAAGCCCTTTCCGAGAGGAAATGCTTTACTGGATCGTGAAATTGAAATTTTCAACTACAGGCTTTGCCGCGCTCGTCGTGTTGTTGAGACTGCTTTTGGGCTGCTAAGTCAAGTTTTTAGAATATTTTATACTCCGATCGCCATTGCACCAGAAACTTGTACCGATTTAATACTGACAGCATGTTGCCTCCATAATATTTTGCGTGACGGACATCTGGAACACAATTAACAACTATACTATGTTCGTGATGAAACTGATAACCCGACACAAAATATGATTGACCTTGCGAGCACAAGAACATTCTCCTGGAACGCTATGGAATCCCGCGACAAACTAAAACAATTCTTCTGCACAGAATGTGGTTTATTATCGTGGTGGTGAAATAATTACATTTTAAAAGAATAATAAATGACTACTAAGTGTTGTTCATCATGCCACTTGTCTGCTATATGCGGACGACTTAAAGTTACTGTTGACTGTAAAAGATGGACGAGATTGTGAAAACTTACAAGGAGATATCGACAGGGTTGTCCAGTGGAGTCACGAGAACAATCTGTTTTTTAATGAGGCAAAGTGTTCTCTGATAACATTCGGTCGTGCTCGGACACCTATCCAATACGAATATAGTATAAACACAGTCCCAGTGCAGAAGGTTTCCAAGGTACGCGATCTAGGGGTTCTACATATAGCCCAACTGACGTTTCGAGACCATATAGTCAATGTTTGTAAAAAGGCCTACAGGAACCTAAAAAGGCCTACAGGAACCTTGGCTTCGTGTTGAGGCAGACTCGGTGCTTTAATAAAATTAGTCCCATAAAAGCATTATATGATGCCCTTGTAAGGAGCCACCTGGAATGCAATGCAGTTATCTGGTCGCCTCATGAAGCAAAGTATAAAATTATGTTAGAGCGCATTTAAAAATAAATTTACACGGCATTTATATGCAAGAATATATGGTGTTTACCCCTTTTATCCACTCATGTATCCAAGTTTGTTTGTACTCGGCATGGTTGGTTATAATAGACTAAGAGAGAAGTACGTCGAGACTTCGCAATAAGCTCAAATTATTTATAAACTAATTAGAGGGTCAATTTTTAACCATAGTATACTGGACACCCTTCTTTATGCGTGCCGAATGATTAACGTAAGGAGGCGACGAAAACCGCGGTTGTTGGCAGTGCCGCGCGGCCGGACTAATCTGAGCCAAAAGGCCGGCTCACTCGAGCTTTGCAAATCCTAAATGATGCTACAGACAGAACGGATTTATTTTCATGTACTCTGTGTGAATTCACAAAGGTAACACTATACGTTATTTGTTATGTACATGTTTCGTAGTAATTTTAGCGAGTAGTTGATTTTTTTTTTTTTTATTGTGACTCGGCAAAATGACTGCACCGCGCCTGATGGAAAGTGCGAATACAGTCCAGAGATGAGAGTAACGGATGGAAAACAAATATCTTCACTCCGTTTATTTTTTATCCATTTATTTATTTATTTATTTTATTATGGATTTAATGTAAGAATCTACATGTGAATTTGTACACTATCGCATTAGTTTAGACTGTAATGATAGATGTAAAGTTTTAAATGCTAAATAAATAAATATACTTACTAGTTTTATTCAGTTGTTCTGCTAGTTCTTCCCACGCCTTATTACGCTTGTAAGAATTTTTATAGTCTGGGGAACTGATATCATTATTATTGGTATTTGAGACACAAAATTTATTAATATTTCATTTTCTCTCGTTGAAAAGTTCTCTCCCGCGTTCCCAAACATGTTTGCTCCGTGAGATGCAGTCTAGCGCAACTAGGAAAAAATAAAAATATAGGAAATTTACATGGCAAATAATGGAGGACGGAAGTCGGATTGCTTTTGTAAGTTTATTTTTTATATTTCATAATTTCATAAATTTACGCATAATTTGTTGCCTTAATTAGTGATTAATGATCCGGCTGTGACTAGTTAACGTGTTAAAGTAAAATGCCACCAAAAAAACGGTTTATAACATGTGAAATCTGTGGAGATCGAGCCGGTCGTAAAAATTGCGAAAAAAGGATGTTTATGACGAAGTTTCCTTTAGATGAGGCCCGGTAAGCATTTAATGATATAATTTTATCTAAATATAAGTATAAAAGGGTACGAATACATGAAAACTGCTATATTTATTTCAATGTTATTGTGTACTAGTGATGTATCTCAAGTATCGATAGTCACTGACTTATTTGGGCTAAACTCCAAAGATCCCCTGAATTATTCTTTCGTGATTTTCTTTCTTCTAAAAAATTTATGTATACTGTATTCGTAAAATGTATTTATTTATTTAATAAGGAACGCCAGCAGTTTACACAATTTAGAGTAATTCATGTCAACTACTGTCCATTTTGATATTTATTTCCAAATTTTAATTATTTTTCAGATGCCGGCAGTGGGTGAAGATTGTTGGTAAAGAAGATTTAGTGTATGTGCCCATAGAAAAATTGCATACATTAAAGGATGTATGCGGCAATCACTTCGAGAACAAAACTTTTAATAAAAGAAAAAATCGCCTTAAAAAGTCTGCCGTGCCGTCAAAAAACTTAAAAGCTGATCCACTTGCTGATGATATGCTCAATGAATTTCCTTGTCATATATGTGACAATGAAGCTTCACTACCACAGGTTGAAGCAATCGCTGGATCTAGTAATGTAGGTATTATCTCTTTTTAACCTTAATTTAGCAGCAAGTTCTTTTAAAATCTTTCATTCTTGGAAATTATTTCTAGTGATTGATGATCTTGAACGATTTCCAGAATCATATATAACCGGAGAGCATCAGAAAATAGCACATAAAAGAAAAAGGTCACCTCGCTCAGGTAATAAACTTTATAATATTATGATAAACAATACTGTAACTTTAATCACTGTAGGTATTTTTCATATCATTAAGTATCCTGTACTAGACAAATACTCAACGAAAGAGTAGTAAATTCTGAATGCTATCACAACTTACGTAGGTACTTATGTAAGATATTATTGGTGGTCTAATATTACAATTACAAGAAAGCAGGGAAACAAGAAAGGGTTGTTATAATTATATATTTTAATATTTCTAGGACCATCTACTTCGTGCTCGGAGCAGCCACAGTTACTCGACCATGATTATTGCTCAAAAAAGGAAAAAGTCCTTCAGTCACCTAAAAGAAAAAAAAACATCTGTTTCAGGTAAATATTTTTAATCTACATAATACATAAATATATAGAATTGTAATTCTAATCTGGCATGTCGTATTATAGTGATAAAAATAATATACTGGGTGATTCTGGGACAACCGATAAAAAATTTACCACGTGTTCTGTAGTCATAATGACCAACTTTCATTACGGGACCAACTCTGAAATCGCGAAAAAAAAATCACAGCTGTTCCATACATTTTGGTTGAGTAGGTATTGAATTTTAGTAAGGAACAGCTGCTTTTTTTCGCGGTTTCAACATTTGCAACACTCGGTATATTCAAGTACAGGCCCACAAAGTTATCTGACCCGGTGACGGCGTCGCTAGAGTCGAACCCAGTGTTGCCGTCAATTGAAAGTTGGCGATTTTTAGGGTAAAATTAGTTCGGTCCGGTTCTGTTCCTTAATAAACTAAATTAACGTTGATAAAAATATTCGACTTTTCAAGGAAAATCGTAAATACATATTAAATAAACCACCTGTAAGGAAATCTTTAAGGGAAGAGTTTTAAGGAATTTTTTATGGGAAGTTTGAAGTTTTTAAGCATGAATAAAAAATTAGACACAAAAAAAATTACCAATTATATTTTAATATTATAATTGTGATCAAGTAAACAATTTAATGGTTTAATTCCAGTTATTCCCGAACCCGAATCACCTGTTTCATCATCCTCGGAATCGCTACTTTCACTTTCACTGTCATTGTTCAAAGTAATGATGAACGGTTCATCTAAATAACCATCTTTATCTATATATTCGTTTTCAATTTTTTTCACATGTCCACAATGCTTTTGCCATTCTTCTGCCGATATTGCATTAAATCCATTTGATATTAATTGCGGCATTTCTGAATCACTTTTTCCAATATTGTGGTCGGCAACATGACGTTTCATGGAACTCCAAATCATTTCTATGGGGTTCAGATCACAGTGATATGGTGGCAATCTAAGAATAGTGTGTCCGTGATTTTTGAGCAAATTATCAATTTCGTACTCTGGTGCTGGTTTGTGCCTCTTTATTAATTCATATAGCTGGGGTTTTGTAAAACCCTCATTGTATTCTATATTGTTTTCAGTGAGCCATTTTTGCATGTCACCTTTTTTTGTGTTTAAATTAGGGCATTTGTTTATGCAAATGCTGTGATAGGGGGCATTGTCCATCACAATAATTGTATTCTCGTGTAAATTGGGAAGAAGTTTTTCGATTACCCACTTTTTAAAGTTTGCATTATTCATCTCATGATGATAGTCACCACTTTTTGTGTTTGATTTAAATGTCAGTAAAGCGTTAGGTACAAATCCTTTTTCTCCTCCAGCATGAACAATTATCCACCTGCTACCTTTTGAAACTGGGTTCAAAACACCATCCATGTCATCACTCTGCCAAGTGCGTCCGACAGTGTGCGAAGAATGAATATATGTCTCGTCCAAATATACGATTGGTTTTTGTTCGCTAAGTTCGTTTTTCTTAATTTTTTGGAGGTATGTTGCTCTCCAAGCACATATGTCATTGCGTTCAATGAGAACTTTTCTGTTTGATTGAGTTTTCTTGTACCGAAAACCAATTTTTCTCAATATTTTTCTGAGCGTTTCTCGGCTTCCTTTGAAGTCAATTTCTTCTTGTAAAACAAGGAGCAGTTTTTGAAGAGTGGGTATTTCTTTCTTCATGGAGTAAAACTCATGAATTTTTCGTCTTACGACACCCAAGTCAAATTCGTCAACTTCAATCTTCCCCTTCAATCTTAGCCGTTTTTTCCCAGGAGTAGAAATTTTCGTTCCGGTTGCATCAGCCTGTTCTTTTTCTTTAACTAAGTTACGCACGAAGCGCTCACCAACACCTGTAAAATAAATCATACTTAAATTCTGTAATAAAAAATAAAAATGAACAATAGGGTTCAGGGAAGTTCATATTACAATATCTGGCAACACTAACCTGTGGCAGCCGCTACTCGATCATACAGTTTTTGAAATGGTATTATTGGGGCTTGGAGACGTTTTTCTTCCTCCATAAAGGCCAACACTTTTAAAATAATGTTTCTCGCGTCACTTCTCAAAGCTTTCGGCATTATTTCTGACACTTTTATCACCAAACAAGGAAAAAATACCACGAAGTCGCTCTCAGCTTTACAATGACACACAGAGTGACATATTCAAGATGGCGACTTTAGTTCCTGTTTTAGCCACCGGTTCAGATAAGTTTGTGGGCCTGTACATTACAGATTTATAAGTTTTTTAATAGAAATATTCAATTACATTACAGATTTGGAAGTAACACCTCGGAAAAGAAAGCTGATTAAAAAAATTCATTTGTTTAAACGCAAAATAAGTGTTCTGCGAGAAGGAAATATAATGCCACGCATTATATCATTGGCACTTAGAAAACCACAAGGAAAACGGTGGACTCCTTGAGAAAAAGCCTTAGCTATTGCTATATATAAGAAATCTCCTCGCGTTTATAGACATTTACAACATTTGATGGCATTACCAAGCATAAGAACTCTGCGAACTCTTCTTCAAAGCATTGAATTGGAGCCAGGAATCAGCCAAACTATCATGAATCACCTAAAAAAGAAGGCAGCAAAAATAAATGAAAAAGACAGAGTATGCGCTTTGCTTTTCGATGAGATAGCTTTAAAGAAGCGTGTAATCTTTAATTCCAGGACAGACAAAGTAGAAGGATTTGTAGACTTAGGTGAAAACCAGAAATAGCTGATGCTGACGCTTCGGTATTCATGCTTCAAGGTCTCCACAAAAAACTAAAGCAACCAATAGCTTATTACTTCGTCAAAGGAACTATCTCATCGCAAAGCCTCGCTGTTTTCATCAAAGATGTCATTAAGGCAGTAACTAATATTGGTTACACTGTTATCACTACAGTATGTGACCAAGGGCCTACAAACATTGGCAGTTTGAATCTGCTTAAGGAGTGGTGTGGCATCCCAGCTACATCCAATTATTTCTTGTTAGACGAGGAGAAAATCTTCATGATGTTCGACATTCCTCATCTTTTCAAATCGCTCCGAAACAATTTTTACAATGGGGGAGTAATAGTAATAGACGGAAAAAAAGGAAAGTGGTCTCACCTGCAAGATGTGGCAGAAAAAAATAAAAGCACCCTACATTTTCAAAAATTAACAGCCCTACATGTAAATCCTACATTTAAATCTAAAATGAAGGTCAAGCTGGCTGCTCAAGTGCTAAGTAATACTGTGGCTGCTATCTTAAAACTTATGGCCGAAAATTACGGGGATGATGTGAAAGCTCAAGAATTCTTAGAGACTGCACAAATTATAGAAGACCTTGATCGGCTTTTTGACTGTACCAATGGCCCCTCGTCCAAAAAAGACATAATCAGGCATAGAAGAGAAAATGTTTCAAAAAAAACGAATCACGTGGAACTGTGGAGACATTATAAAAGAATTATGAGTAAGATGTATTTCCTCAAAGCCGATAGCTTTTTAAGACTGAAGAACATAAGATGCGTCCAGGGGTATGTTACTTCGCTGTCATCACAGGAAGATATTTGGAAATATGTTGAGTCAAAAGGTTTCAAGTACTTAAATCTTCGTCAGCTAAATCAAGATAGCTTAGAAAACCTTTTTGGAATGATACGGTAACATTGCCCGACAAACCGTAACCCAACGTGTCATCACTTCACAGCTGCTTTGAAGTCAAATATTTTGACAAAATTAAGTACACCAGTTGGTAGAGGAGCAAACTGCGAAGAGGATGATAATGAAGCAATTATTGATTTCGAAGATTTCTTTCCAAAATCATCGAAAGCTAATCAAGAACGTCATCTTCCAGAACAAGTTTTACAACTAAGTTCTCAAAAAATATTTGAAGATGCTGAAGCTCCGGTACTACCCCCGACTGAAAATGCTGATGCTGTCTTTCACTTACCTGATGAGTGTAAATTTCCTGATGATGATGATGCAGAACTGTTGCAAATAGAAAACAGATTATTCGAAACTTTCGAAAAGCAGGCTACTGTGCATGTCGCGCGTTATTTGGCTTCGGTTGTCGTAAAAAAAATGCGGTGGCAGTGTGAGAGCTGTAAGTTAAGTTTAAAAATAGAAGACCCAGAATTACTTGACACACGAATGTACAGCTACATAAAACTTCGTGAGTGGTGGCAAGACAAAAGAAGTCTTACATATCCCACTATTAATCTATGTAAATTAGTTGACACATTTACATCATGTTTTGAAGCTCAAGTCAAACCGATTCTTCATGAAAAACATATTTCTCAGCAAGCCATAACAATGATGTTGACAAAATGTGACAGTATGTTGTGGATATGTAATGACCACAAAGATCGCCTGCTCCGCGTGTTATCGCCTGCTATTTCGTTTGAGCCACCTTTTAATACGCAATGAATGCCATCGAATTAATCTTTCCTTCGCAAAAGCTGGGGAATCAACTGCTGATTTTATTAAAAAAGCACAGCACCAGGGTATCGCAAAATCATAACGAAATCAATTATTCATTTGATTAAAACACCGTCCTCCTGCATTTAACACGAATTTGATTATTATTAGAAAAATATATTTTTTAGTTTTTAATAATACAATGTTTTATTTCGAATCCGCATTAACTCCAAACTTTTTATAGTTAATTAGTTATTTTACATTATCTAAAGTTCGGATTTAAATATGGATTCGATATTAGCCTTATCCACATAATTAAATAAAAAGTAATATAAACTTCGATGTATACCCTATAAATATTATCGATATCGATACTAAACCTAGTGTACAGCTACTAGCAGCACTATTTGGTCTTTTAGGTTGGTACTATTGATTTTGACGTCTCTATTTAATATAATGTTGGTATTAGATTGCCATGTAAATTGATTCTATTGGCTAATACGAAAGTCCCGTCTCTTAAACGTAGTGCTTAAATTCTCTTTGGTGAGATGCATGACAACATAGACAACAAATTCGATATAACAAAACGTTGCTAGGCAACCAATGATGGCATAGGAGAAGAACATTCTGCCCACGGCCTGCTCTTAATTTAAATAGGTAGGTAGGTAATTGGGTTATGTAGAAGTAATACTTACCAATAATTATAAAGTTTACAAAATGTTTAGGTATTGATACGTAAAGCTTTTGCATCCTATTAAGCTGTACTGCTAGATGGTAGGTAATGGTAGATGAAAAGAAACAAAATTGTAAGATTTTATTTGATATTAATTATCCACACATTAAATCATCCAGCATCTATTTCCGACTCTGAACTTGAATTACCACCAGAACTCGAATGTTTGCAATCTCTCCCTTCAAATCAAAAAGTTACTGGGGATGACACAGTGTTACAAATAATTAATTACTGGTCGTTTTTAGGTAATTTGAAACTGCTGTTGAATAATATTCATCATAACCATGGTTTCAAGATTTAGTATTATCCACAATCTAGTTGAATTTCGTACAAAAATATTGAAATTGTAGTAACTGTGAAAGAGTCTGAGATGAAAACCCTAAAAATCATATGTTTTTGTTTGTTGACATATATTCTTCATTGAATTTGGCTAGAGTATACGTACATAACTGAAATAGACGGGAAACATGGCCTTTGACATATAGCGACTCTAGCCGGCGAACATGGAACTATATTTTAGCGGCAAATTTTGAAAAGTTTAGCAGCAAATTTCAAAAATGTGGTTCCTATATAGCTTTTCTTTAACTGCCTCCGTGGCCGAACGGTTACCATGCCGGACTGCCACGCAGAGGTCCCAGGTTCGATTCCCGGGCCGGGAGAAATGTTTGTATGGCTTACATTTATTTCTCTCGTGAGTTTGGGTGTAATTTGTGGTTGTCTATGTGTGTGTCCATGGCACCCGCGACACAGGGTTTCCCTAGTGCGGGGCTATGTTGAGTGTGTGCGTTATTTATTATTTATTATTTTATTTATTTCTACATGTTCCAGTAACCAACCTATCGATAATCTTCGGATTGTATCGGACTCTCCGAATCCGAAGATTATCGACAGGATGGTTATTGGAACCGATCTATATGAACAAAATAACAATAAAAGACTCATGATATTTTGTATAAAACAATTTATTTATAACAATAATTTTCATACATTTAGCAAAGTTCACTATACAAAATGTGTAATACTTGGCTTGTGGATGGAAAATAACTCGCTTCACTCCGCGCGAAATGCGGAAAAGAGCAATCTTCTCAACGCACCCATGTATCTCAAGCTTTCACGGAGGACAACAGAGTCAACTCAACGTGAAGGCATGGAAATGATAACGCAAAAACTCAAAATATTGCAGAAAAACAAGTAATGAGTACAAACGCACTGGTCAAAACTTGTTTTGAAAACTTTTGAAATTGTCAACAATCGCCATTTTTAGTTTGGTTTGGTGTGACCATCATGAATTATTACAAATTCTACTATTATTTCATTTGACAACTTGGTTTTAATAAATTGAGCACTAAAATTACATATACAATTATAATTTCACTCCCAGACAACTATTTAAGTTGGTTTCTTAGGTTTAGGATAACGTAAAGCATACATTTTTATTAATTAGTGATTTTCAAAATGAAAAAAAAAACTACTACACCTTTTTGTTATTTTAAATGGTGCACTTGAACGATAGCAGTGACGCCTGGTTTGCGAACATGAAAACGGAAATTTGTTAATTCTTTGGATTTGAGATTTGAGACACGCACAGCCGCGTGCGGCCGATGTCAGTCGTCGGCTGCGCGCGTGCGTCTGTCGCAGACCTCGGAAGCGGTGCCATACATTTCCATACTCTGACTATTGTCGCATCAGCCGCGATGCACGGAATTGCACCTTTAGTGTTTGGAAAGTTCTCAACGAGAGAGGCCGCGCACGTGTTACAAAGTAAGTACTAAAGACTTTTTTCATGTGTTTTGTTGTCATTTTACTTTATGTTAGTGCCGTGTATACGCTGTTATGTGAGAATTAATGAAATGTTACGTTTGTCATAAATATTTATAAGATACATCCTCGAAACTGTAGGCCACCGACCACCGCCTCCGGTGGCCGTTGCGCGCCACCGCCATTTTTGCAGCAGCGGCTGTAG